TGTCGTCCTGGTGTCCACTGCTGCCTTCGTTCCTGCATCCTGTTTTTTAATCACAGCGATGTTTATTGAATTATGACTTAAAAAGACATTTTAGAAAACATAATAGCTGCAGCTGTCTCTGAAACGTTTTACACATCATGACCTTTTATCTTCAACACACGGAGATCCCCGATGGAGTTTATATTTTAATATGTCTGCCTGCCTGATGGTAGAACTTCTTCTATGTTCATGTTACTAAGTGCTCTGCCCTCCAGAGTAATGAAAAATGTGTCCATAGCTGCTTGTTTGACATGTTCGTGTTGATGGCGGCTTCTCAGGTGGAACAAATTGAATTCTGTTTATGCTCCGTCAGTGAGGCGCTGGTGAGACGCTCTCTGACCAACGGACTAGAAAGCCAATTTCAAAGAGAGATGTAATCATCTGATTTATGCAAACCTCTGCACAGCCATTGGTACCATGCTTGCTGCTAATCCATACAGAGCCATCAGAGGCTGCCTGCACACCTCACATGTGAAGAGCAGTCTGGTGCCATCATGTGGTTGTAAAATGAACTACAGGGTCCGGTATACCAGGGGCATCGGTTTAGTGTGTGTGTGTTTTTAAGGTTTTTTAAAAGTTCTAATTAAAAGTTTAATGTCTGCCACTGCCTTTAAAGATAAAAGGAAGCATCCTTTATATCTCGTGCTGCAGACTGTGTTTTTCTTTTCTTTTGCAGACGTTTTTCCCACATTGACGTGTTTATCTTCAGAACTTTTCTCGATGCCTTTTTATGTCTCATGTAAATACAAAAAACTCCTCTCCTCTCCTCCATACAGTTAGAACCACCATTACATGTCACTAACTCTGTGTTTCCTGGTCCTGTGCTTGTTCTGATCCGTCTCTGGATCTGGAGCTTCACATCAGCCACGAACCTCAAAACACTTGTATTCATTTTTACTTTTCTGTTCTACTGCTTGCTCTCCATCTGCTCTCCTGTTATCCCCACGGCTCATCTATGTGATGACGAATGTTGTAAACTGTACTATACAAATATGATTGAATTGAATTGAACTTAAGAGGATGTACGGTGCTTAAGTAAAGGTATCTAGCTAGAGTCTTACTGTGATGCAAACTGTTTTTTCCCCCTATATTTTATGTCAAGCTGGTGCCTTCTGAAAAGCGTTTGTCTCCAGCCAAAGAAAGTTTTCCTGCGATCCATCTTTTGTTCACTGCTGCATTTCACATCAACACCACACAATAATTCACTCCAAATAATCCAGATCACAGAGCTTAATGGTTTTATTCGGACGCAGGAGTTTTCAACACCCAGTCAGTGGTATGATGTACGTTACATCACAGGTTTGAACCAACCAGACACTCATCAACAAACAGCATCACTAGACAAACAGTTAAGTTGAGAAGGTAAACAGTGTGACAGCGACTCACACTCGCCCAGCAGGGCTTCTTTCTGCTCTCTCTCTCTCTGTGATGGTCTATTGGAATATTAACCAACCGTCTCCTCATGTCAGCAGACAAACAGTGTAACCCATTTTCAACATACATTCCAGGAAAGAAAATGTCAGCGTGACGTCATACGTGTGGACGATGACAGCACGCATCAGTCCTGCTGTCGCCGACAACACTGCGGTGACATTTCCTTGAAAGGGAAGGAGCTAAATGACAAGAAATAAAGGCTCAACCACAGCACAGGCAGTTCACAGGGAAAACCGAACAAACAAAATAAAGACGAAGGAAATATTCTGAGATGATTCTACTGAGCTTCACCAGTAGATTATGTATACAGTAGTTTCTATGACTCCTGTTCTTCAGCGACGAGCCGTTCTCGACGATTCTTCTGCGGTTCAGGAGAGGAGCATCTCTACACAATGCATTTATTCGTTATGGCGGCTTGACAGCTGAGTAGCATTAAAAACGAAGGACGACAAGGCAACATCTGTTCATAATCAACATGACAACTAATAGACCACATCTTACAGTTAAAAAAGTAAAAAAGTAAAAGTCCAATAAAAATTGATGTTGTGCGCAAAAGGCACTCAAATTTCCTGCTCCACATACACAAGTGTCTATAAATTAAAAACAAAACAAGAAAAAAATCTAGTTAAATATGATCAGTTCACCTTTGAAAATTGTGTGCTTTCTTCGTATTTCAATAAACGAATGCTTCTTTTTTTTTTTTGTAACATCAACTTCATAGATTTCAACCGGTGCAAAACCAGGACGATAAGACGATAAGAACTAGATGAATGAGTTTAGGCATCGTCATAAATGCTCCAGATAATATAATTAATGCCCGCGAGAGGTGACAGCATCTGCCGGTTCGGGACAAGAGGAAGCAACACCAGCACGAACCAGCAGAGGGTGTGAGTGCACTATTTGACTTTAAATGCTATATTGCCTTTTTTTTTCGTTTTTTTCTGGGTGTACAAACTTCTTAACAATCCTCCCACCCTGGATATTATTATTATTACATCTGTCTGTGACTATTAAAAACACTGCAAGCAAATATTTTCAATTTACAGCATGTGTCTGTGGAATCAGTGCCTGGTTGACATGCTAAGGATTAACGTTTTATTATTATTATTATTATTTATTTTTTCAATCAAGCAATGTTTTTCCACTTCTATTTTATTAACTGCTACAAGTGGCTTAATTTATTATCCGTAAATATTAAGGCCGGTTTCTTTAAAGGAACAAAATAAAAAAAATAAATTGAATTATTGAACTAATTTGTGCGTTTCACCAAGGCAAAGGCACCACACAGCCATCGAGTCTGACATAACACGAGTCCCACATCACAGCGCCAAACATGCAGAACGGAGCAGGCTCTTTGGGATGCGGATTACAAGGTCTCTGGATTAGAGCTGTCAGAGTGACAAGAGGTACAGTAGATAGAAACGCTGCAATGTTTTCATTCCTCCAACGAAAAGAGGAGGAGCCGACGGTTCATCGATCGATAAGTAAAAGGCAGAAAGGAAGGAGGCTGCTCTGATAACAGTACGTTACAACATCGACGCCTCCGTGGATGAGTTTAGTACGCTAAACCTGAAAGAGGAAATGTCACGGGGGACTTTTTCCTTTTCCTTTCCTTTTTTTTTTGAATTGAATCATAATTCCTCAGAATGAGAACTGAACAGGAAACACTCGCCAGCTGTGTCAGGATGGGAATATATGTCGAAAACATAACGAAGATCAAATAATTCAGTCTTGGTGGTCTGTCCAACAGCAATCAGTTTTCTACAGTACAATTACCAAATGCATCGTAAGCACACAGTACATGGTAAACAACTCTACTTTACAGTCAAATAAAACTTTACTGGAGATGACAAAGAGGCGCTTCATGATCTTTACACTCACACCATCTCGTTTCCTGTATTAACCTGTACACGATTAACACTTAGAAATTACTAGCTATATATTATGTACACGTTTACCACAGGGCTCCTACATTAGTTGGTGCATTAGTTTTCTGCATTTCATTTATACAGTACAGAGAAGAAAATAAAACCCCCACATGGCCCAACCGTGCATGACGGTAGAGGACGACTCGCGTTTTAGTTCTGTCATATTGATTAGTAAGACTTCAGGAGTCACCTTCATGCCAGGATGCTTTATCTTCTGCCGTCAAGCCAAACCAGTGGCAGGTTTAAAACACAACACTGTCTGATAACAAGGTATTAGTTCTTCTAACATTTGGACACATTAAATTTGATTTTCTTTTTCATTATAAGGTTTCAAACTGATTTTTTTTTTATTCTTAAGATAATTAGCAAGCTCGTTCACTGACCGTGTCATTACAGATCTATCAAAGTCTTTAATATTTCTCTTATTTTCTCCAGTCCCTGCATGCAGAATTAAATGTCACTATGTTTTATTTTACTTTGCTGAACATCCACTGTATTATAATACAAACAGAAAGCATGGTGAGTTCAAGTAGGTTTGTATGTACAGCCATAGAGGCCTGTGCCCTAAACAGACGTGGCATTTTAGCTTGAACGGCCAAACCGAGTCCAGATGAGGTGTCCTCACACGTCAACAGGAGTGACAGAAACATCAGCTGGACCTCACGTGATGGCTGGAAAAACCACATTTCACACAAGTATTGCTTCACTTGCATTCAAAGTATCTCCAGAGCGAGACCACGAGGCCACAGACCTCTGAGGTAAAACAGAAACACACGGACTCGTATACACATTTACTGGAGTTAAATCAAGTTTCAAAGAGAGCCGAGCGATTTGCGCTATCACGGCTCTGCAGCTTCTTTCGCCGCTTTATCACCATGGTAACGGGCTTTAGAAGCTCCAGGAGCTTCCTATACATATGAATTCAGTCAAACGGAGAGGAAGTTATCTGCTTTTCACACATCGGCACATGTTTCTCGTAAGCCTTTCCCTCACTTGGACAGCTGTACAGCCTTCCCACCTCTGCTACATGGTACCAGACTTGTCCCCGCCGTCACTGGAGATGTTCATGTTAGAACCTGCAGCTGTGCTGTTACCCGGAAACATCTTCTCGGTGGGAGTCACGGCGGGGCTGCCGACCCCGGAGGAGCTGGAGCTGCTGGAGCGGTGCTGGGTTGGCGGGGGGCGCACTGGCCTCATGGGCGGCGGGCGAAGCTGGGCCCCGGCCAGCCGGGCGGAGAGAGCGGGCTTGAAGGTGGTCATCATCTCGGAGGTGGAGCTGCTGCTGCGGCGCATGGCTGCGTCCGGGTCGCGGATCATGATGGTGTGAAGCGGACTGCCGGGCTCTGAGCTGACCGGGTTCTTCATCGGCTCCAGAGTGTCCAAGACCACGTCGGGGGCCTGTTTGACGGTGTTCTGTCGCTCCAGCTCACGCAGCTCGTGAAGCGCTGTGGTCATGGTCTTCTCTATGTCCTGCAGAGACGAGGATGAGGAGAACAGAACACTGAAGAACAACAGCCGAGTCAAAGCGTTGCCACAGAGTGAGACTTTTATCACTCCGAAGTGTTGCTAGAGGAACGACTCCTCAGGGAACGTCTGCTCGCACGGTTTGGTTTAACTACGATTCAACATCAATGAGGACCATGTTAAAAGAAAGCCTGTGTTATCCCGTCACTCGATCAGCACTGGATGTTAATGCAGTTAAATCACAGGCTGATGAAAGACGTCTGTTCTGCAACAGTGCTGGTTTGACAGAAGTTCCTGCTGACTTCATGCTGTCTGTGGTGGATTAACACAACTTCAGCAACTTCCAGGAGTCTCTGAATTAATACTAGTTTATTAGAATAAAACCATTTAGTAGAACAAAGCATATCCAAATGTTGGAAGAACTTTAGCACTGTTTCCAAAAAAACAGCTTTGATGTAAAACCTGTAGAATATAAACTGTACATTCTGCTACTGGGCGACTTTCTCAGTCATTCGAAGCCTGTTTCATATGAAACCCTGAGACCTTAGCTCCTGATCCATTTTCATTTCCCTGCTAACAAAGAAACTCAGGTTGCTTTTCCTACTTTATATTCAATCTGCTGCACACCCTTCAGCACAAGCCATTAGCTGATGAGGAGCGTTTGGAGCCGAACCATCAGCGCTCTTTAGCTTTTTATTTACTTGGAGACCTTTATGTCCTTGAGGTGCGTCTGTCACCCAGACACAGTCTCGCCCTGACATTTATTCCAGATCCCAGCTGCTGCTCTCAGACTGACAGCTACAGCAGGAGGTCTGGCTCTGATCAACCAAACCCACCCAATCTATAAATGTCTCACACGTCCTGCTGTGTCTGGTACCGTCTGATTCCAAAGCAGTCAAACTCAGTGTCTTCATGTCTTGTTTTTGTCATTCTCTTTTTTTCTCTTTTGCCTCCATCGGAAACTTTTATTTCTATTTTATAAAATATCACATCAGTAACAGCTAATTATTACACACTATCATCATTTCAACAACTTAGACTGCAGTTAAAAACAGATTTGTGCACTTTATGGTAACAAAGTAAAGCAAAAGTCACATGCATTCAGGTTAAGAAAGCCTCTAACATAGATAAAAACACTAAAAGGTTTATGACAAAGTCTCACCTCAGCCAGAGCCTCAGTTTCCAGTGATTTGTGGTCCCCCAGGCTGCTGTGACGAGTGGCTCCTGGCACTGGTCTGAGCGGGTGGCCCTCGGGATAGCCCTTCCTGTCTGGGTAGTTGATGCTGCCTGCGCTACCAAAGGTGCCGAGGCGCCTTTTTTCCGGGCTCTCCATTCGACCCTTGTTGATCGCGACCTTGTGAGGGCTGCTCGGACAGGCCGCGGCCCGTGGAGGAGTGTCAGCCACTCTGGTTGGGCTGTGAGTGTCCGCACCGCTCCGACGGCGCGGGATTGCAGCTCCGTCGGATCGTAGCCTGACCCTGCAGAGAGGCCACATCAGATCAGCAGTCAGTACCCTCAACATTACAAACCTTTACAACAGGAAATGTGTTTATTCTTGATTGCACTCACCTCCCCATGACTCCTCCAAAGTTATAATCAGGCGACTGCTCGCACGGTGACGGGGCGTCGTTTTTGGATGAACCCTTGTCCTCCAGCAGCGGTCCACTGCTGGCTTCACTGTCTGCTTTCTGGCTGAGGTTATCTGAGAAAGCATCATCCCTGAAACAGCAGAGCCAGCAGTGGTGAGTATGAGATATAAACACAAACTACATGATGTAGAATAACTATTAAGAGACTGCATCCTACTACTGAAACAGATTCTGCTGGTACGTACAGGTCTTGAACCACAATGTACTGATGGGGGATGAGGCCATCCACGCCGTTGTGTCGGCCCTCCCACCAGTCTTCAGATGCTCGGTGATACAGAAGCAGGGAGGCTCCCTTCTTGAAGGACAGCTCTCTGGGAGTGCGTCCCACGTAGTCAAACTTGGCGATGGCCTCGATCTGTTCCACCTCTGAAACACACAACGACCAAACAAAGAAGCTGGTCAAAACCTGAGCACAACGTGGCTGCAGTCATGCTTAAGAGACAAACAGGAATTTGTTGGCAATTTTCCACCTCAACTGCATCAACAACATTCATCCATCCATTATCTATACACCGCTTTATCCTCATTAGGGTGGTGGGGGGCTGGAGTCTATCCCAGCTGACTGAAGGCAGGTTCACCTGGACAGGTAACCAGTCTATCACAGGGCTACACTTAGAGACAGACAACCAAGCACACTCACATTCACACCTACGGACAATTTACAATCACCAGTTAACCTCAGCATGTTTGTGGACTGGGGGAGGAAGCCGGAGAACCCGGAGAGAACCCACGGGGAGAACATGGAGACTCCACGCAGAAAGATCCCAGGTGTCCTCACCGGGACGCCAACCGGCGACCTTCTAGCTGCGAGGCAACAGTGCTAACCACTGAGCCACCTTGCAGCCCAACAACAACATATATGATCAACAATAAAATATGTTTAATGTCTAAAAAACTGTAGTAAATAATAAATTGCTGCAATCAAAAGAGAAGACGTTTTCTCCAACAGTGTCTCTGTTTACATGGTGAATTCCTTTAGACGTGTCTTTGCCGTGTGAAGAAACCAAAACACACATCATGTGCTTTGAATGACTTCCTTGTGGTTTCAGTCGCAGTTGAAGCAGAGACTAAATCAGCTGTCTGAGTGCAGAGTGTGGCAAAACACTTTAAGATGACTGAAGTAGATTTTTGTAAACATGAAGGTCACGTATGGTGCTGGTGTCCCGTCCCTACAGCGCGTCTCCGTTTCTTAGCTTAAAACACTGCAGAGGTGGTCCACTCAGCGTGACGAGTATAACCCTGGATTTAGGGCTGAAAACCAATCAGCTGCTGCTGCTGTTCCCGCCCAGTAAGAACACACTGTCTGTGACTGACAGCGCTGGACGTCAATCATTGGTTAGTTGAGTGTCACACGGCACCGGGGTTGAGTTCTTACGCTCTTGTGGAGGCTAACTAGTTGTGGAATGGCAGAAGCAAACATCTTCACATAACAGCTTTTAGTTTACACCTCCAGGTTTACAACACACAATAAACATTGATTTTCCAGCATATGGGACCTTTAAACGTCTGTGCTGTGCTTCAACAGGCCAGCAGGGGTCAGTCACAGTTAACTGCAATGAGCTCTGAGCAAGAAAATCCGCCATCGGAAGAGCAAACCCAGACCTTCATAGTTTGAAAACCTGCCAAAGGTCCGTCTGGATGTTTAAGAGGACAGTTGGAGACAACAGGGGAGAAAAATATCTTTGTTCTAATTTCATTTCCGTTAGAAACTAATTAAAAATAAACACCACCATCATCCCAGCAGGTGACGAGCTTTAAAGGTTATTTCAGACTGTCAGTGTCAAATCCAGCGAGAAGCGATTCTACATCAGTCTTTGTTCTGTTTTCCAAGTGAGAGCAAGACAAGAGAGAGAAAGGGTCAGCGCTCATTACCAAACAACACAGACGAAGCTCAGATGCGAGTTTGCTCTGCTGCTGCTCAGGAGATCTGATCCTGTCTTCTACCTGTGTTTGGGCTTCCGAGCCCGGCCCGCTGATGTATTCAAAGCTCAGAGGAGGACTGAGGAAATACTGCACAAAGGAGAAAGTCCCGGGAGAATCGCTGACTAACACTGAACAAAGACCAAGCGAGCGAGCGGGCGGGCGGTGGGGGTGCACACACTCACAAACCCAGAAGCACGGATCAAAGAGGCAGTGCTGCATGCCAATATTGTTTACTCAACTTGCCTTCAGCCTCAAACATCACACAGGCCTCAGCGATCAGAAGCCGCCGCGGCGCAAAGCCGACTCACCTCTCAGTCAAAAGCACTTCATAGAAAAAGGTCAGTCTGTACTTCAGCCACAGAAACCGAATCATTTGTGTGAAATCCGTGTAATCCTGAGACGCGGTTTGCTTTAATATGGTCTTTAAATAATCAAAGAAGCAGGCATCTATCAAAACTGGTCTGTTACAAAAACTGTTTATTTCTATTATTATTATTTTATATTGAAAGTTAACTTCAACTAGTCTAAATGTGTACTAAAGGAAAACGACAGCAGTGTGGATTTTTAGCCGGTTTAATATCTCATGTTCTCCGTCTTAGCTTGGTTTGAAAGCAAATATTTTAAATACAAGGTGCAGCTAAACGGGCTGCTGGCTATCTGTTCAGCTCTGCAGGCGTGACAAACAGCTTTTCCTTGTGATGGAATATCAACACGAGACTGTGTCCATCCGGTGCTTGTGACGGCATCACGTTAACGTCAGGACATCACCAGTGGAGACACATCCTCTGGGGACCATGAACGTCTGTGGCACATTTCACGGCTATTCATCCAGTCGTGATAGTTCAGTCTGGAACAAAGTGGTGGACGACAATCTGTCCTCATAAAACAACTGAGAACGGCTCTCCTGATGCACTCACCTTCATCGCTGGTGTGTGGTTCAGTCCCATTATCGGCCTCATCGATGGTCCCCGGCTCGCTGTGGGGGCTGTCGCTATGGGAGCAAATGGAAAGTAAAAAGGCAGATCCACAGACACAGGAGGTCATATTTGCTTTGTGAACAATAAACATATTGAAGCATGCAATTAGCAGATAAAATGTCACAGTTCCCTCCTAAAGCCAACACGTGGATGGAATTACACCCCCTCCTCCACGTGATCGCTGTTCTTTGTTCGTCACCTGATCAAATCAATACTCACCAGTACTCCTCCCCCCCGGTCATGCACTTCTCGTACACCGGGCCATCAAGCTCACGTTGATTTGGAAAGATGAGTTCATTGTGGATAATGATGGTCTTGATGACCTCGTTAACGTGAGCCTGGCATGCTACGGGGTCCTGGCCGTCTGGGATGGGCATCAGGGTCGGACCGAAGCAGATCGCCAAATTATACGGATCCATCATGTTCTCATCGCTGTACTGGGAAAGACTGGGAGAGGATCGGAGGATTTTTTTGTTTTAATACAAATTGTACACTCAGGATGGATACCAGATAAAAACGTGAGGAGTTGTTGGACAGTCTGCTGATCACGTTAGGAATCAGGTTAAGCCACATTTCTGTGTTCTTGGTTTACTCAGTCGACCCTTTTGTTCACATTTGAATAATTTTACTTTGTTCAACCTAAATTTGAAGAAACAAACCCGTCATTCCATCTCAGATCATCACAAAATTATTTCTGTTTTCTATAAAGATATTTGTGAATTTTTAGTTCAGTTCAGTTTTTTAATATGTGCTCAAATACAGGACTTGATCATCATGATGGCTTTATTTTATTTTTTTTTATCTCACATTCCAGCTCACCTATAATTAAAGATTATTAGATCTACTTTTCCAATCGCAGATTCTGAATGAATGATATGATGAGAAATAACAGTGAACATTTCAGGCTTTTAATGGCTTGTGGAATATTATTATTTAAACATGGCCTCACAAAAAAAAAAACATGCAGGAAGTGGGTTTGCAATTTATTTAGTTTTTAATAATTTGGGAAAATACTTAGAATTAGAATAAAACTGTATCAATCCCTTCGGTACAAGGGATATATTTATATATTTATATTTATAGTACTTGATACATTCATCTAAAATTTTACAGGTAGGATTTTGAATATCTGTCGTATTTAATATTAAAAAATTCAAGACGGTCGAGCAGAAGGCCGCTGATGATTGGAGACAGAATAACCCAGCTGTGACCTCAGCTCATATAAATATATAAACCATTAGCCCCCATTCGTGGTCATGTTTCTGCCAACATTCCCTCCTCTTCTCGCTCTGGTTTTAGCCTCTACCAACTCCAGAGGGAAACATCTAACCCTCTGAGCAGGTGGGTTTTAGTGTTTTTTTTACTGCAGACAGCTGAGATTGAACCAAAAGAGTAAAAATGTGAACCTTTTGTTGAAATATGCTAAAAAAACCTGAGACTAGCTTGTCAGATACAAGTAACCATGTGGTCCATTATTGGAACAAAACGAGCCATTTTAGGAAATATCAGTCCCATAATCTGAGATGAACGGCTGTGTACAGCAGCAGCAGAGACATCTCATCAGGACTCACTGGCTTTGACACAGTCTGAAACACACAGCGAGGCACTTGCTTGAACAACAGTCTGATCAGCCATCTCCTTCCACAAATCAACTTATCCTGCGCGCGCCACATCCCACTCACGCTAACAAAATCACCCAGTGCTTGCGAAAGGAAGTCATAATAAGTCTTTGCACATTACCAACAAGATGAGGCTGAGCAGTAACGCCACAGCTGGAACGGCTCCAAACAGAGAAGGATATGAAATCAAACTCGGTTTTTCTGCAGGCGAACCCGGCAAAGGGCGCATTAATAACCTCCATTATGAGATGGCAGCTATACTACCCCGGTGAGGTACGAGTTTCCCAACCTGTAGATAGCTTCTAAAACACTACAGACAGATGTCGCAGGTGTTGTTTTATGCACATTGGAGGCCTTTCACCTGCGCAGACCAAAACCCGTCACTTATTTTTGCACGACGATAGCTCTGGCTCGAGGTGTGGCGGGACTCACTGGTTGAGAAAAGCAAACAGGTATCTCATGACGATGATGACGGTCCGTGGAAGAGTCACAACAATCTGCTGGATGTGATGCGCTCTCTCAGCTCCCGACTCCAGCTCTGAAACACAGACGGCAGAGACAGAGAGGTGTAACAACGCTATGATAAAGGAGGACACAATAAAGCTTTGAAACATACATAAACGGAGGCCTATGCTAACACTGATCCCAGCAAGAAAATATGATTAAAACTAAGCTGCAGCGCCAAAGCAAAAGCAGATTGTGAAAACTGCAGTCTGACACTTTCACATGCCCCCTCCTGCCATTCACCAGACCCCTACGGCGGACCGAGTGATCAAACTATTAGACGCAGCGGGGAAACGATTCTGTGGTGAACTTGCACACGGCAGACTGATGTGGCCCACGCTCCTCTGGCTTTCTGCTAAATGTCAGCCGGTGTGAAGATTGCTTCCATGTGCCGCGCCGCGTGACTTTCTCCTGCTTTGGTGAAGCTGGGATTCCAGCAAAGTGTACGAGGTGTGTTTTCTCTTTCGAATGTTGACTCACTGATGGTGGAGATGAAGTCCAGGAAGCGCTCCTTGGGGAACAGGGGGTTCTCCAGGCCTCTGAAGTACAGCTTCAGCACACCCGCCACCGAGTTGATATCGTGCTCGTTCTGGTCGTCGATCAGGGGATCTTCACCTAATTAGGAGAAAGGTGTGCTTTGAGTGATGCTGTCGAAGTGTTTTGAAACATTAGAAGAGGGATTATTTTGACCCACCTCTCTCAAATGAGTTTTTAATATCGTTGACCTCCACCTGTGATCCTGGCACGCGGAAGATGCCCTGCTGCTGCAAACCTGAAAGAAACACAAGCCAGAGTTTACTGATGCAGTATTAGCTGTCCTGCAAAGCTCCCTGATGCGAGTTTTTGGTGAAAAGCCCCACTGGAAACACAAAACACAGAGCAGGAAATGTAATCTGGTCATAAAGGGGAGATGCGTATTTTTTCCAGGAGTGGGCCCCTCCGCCAGCCTGCAGCAGATGGTTTCAGTTAGAGGGTTCTAATCAGTTTTCTGTAGTTTCATTAGGTCCAGATCCAGAGGAAAAGGCCTGCAGGCTAAAGCAATGAGCTGAAGACAGATGTGAAGGTAGACAGGGAGGAGTTAAGGAGGGTGGTGGTGGTGGTGGGGGTATGAGGAGGAGGATTGACTAAACAAAGACCAATGGGACTTTCAAAACTCTCTCCGTGTGTGATCTATTGTTATGAGCTTGTCAAATCAGCGGCAGGCAGCTGAAGCTGAGGTGGAGAGCAGAGCAGGTCAGTCTCTGCACCCGTGGCTATTTGTGGAAATAGATTGCCTCGTTCAATAGCTGCTGTCACTTCTTATGAGGCCAAATGAGTTTTTTAAAGGACTTCACGGTTTGTTCTGTTTTTTGCACAGAAGCAGCAGCGTGACGTGGCACTCACCGTATAGGTTGATGTATCTGATACAGCTTTCAACAACAAGTGGAATGGGTTGACCTGAATCCTGGAACCAAGAAAATAAATATAAATACACGACATGTAGTAATACATGTAAGTCTGTATAATGTTTCCTCTGGGTATTAATTACAGGAAACATACAAAATGAACAAAACAATAATAAACTTGCAATGTTTCATATAATAATAATAAAAAATAAAGCATCTGATGTTCTAGTTTATAGTAATTTAGGTGATAGAAGACAGGAGCAATCTAAAACAGCAGTGAGAAACAACAGCATGCAAGTGTAGCACAAGCAGTTAATGACTATTAGTCCCACAGTTCTAGTCGGTGGTTCCTGCCCTGTGTTCTCTAACAGCGGCGGTACCTGAATGCGGGTTCGGGCATTCCTTCTCCCTCTGGGGCAGAAAGCAGCAAAGCACAGAGGAGCAGAGAAAGAGGAGGCAGAGAATCACAAAGTTAGAAAAGCTCGAATGACAAATGACCCCTCTGGAGGTTAAAGACGGCTAAGCAGGGCGATAGGAAAGCCAGCGAGGGACAAAACAGGCTGTCTCCTGCCTCTCAGTCATCCAAAAAGTGACTGGATTTAGAAAGAAAGCCAGAGCCGGTGAAAGTGTTCTGGAGGGAAATAAAGAGACAGCTGACTGAGGCTCTGTCTGTCTGCACCGGCAGAACCACGGAGGGAAGGAGGAGGATTAGAGGTTAAACAGAGGCGTTATATCATGATCAAGGGCAGCTGGAAGAGGGGGGAACAGAAGGCTAAAGGGAGGAAGAGAAGCTGCCATCCCCTCCTGCTCCACGGGGGCCGCTCAGTCATACAGCAGCAGCAGCAGAGGGTACCTTGATGAAGGTCTCCATATTGCCGTTAAACAGCTTATGGTTATACACGGAGCGTGGCCTAGGCTTCCGCATTTTCTGTGGTTTAGGGGGAAGGGTGGGGGGCCTGGGAATGACGGACACAGGGGACAAAAACACCATAATCCATGAAATGCAGAGCCAAATGTGATTCAAAGGCAGCTGTAAAAATGGTGGCAAAAACAGAGGCTTACAAAAATAATGCTTTGTTTGAGTAGAGTAATAAAAAACCTGTTTCTATAAAACAAAAAGAGATGTTTCATTGAAGCAGATGTGTTTTTTTTTCACAATTCACCACTTTAATTTCTTTCCTTTTTCATATCTGTCCATGTGCTAAGTGTACATAGTCTGTATTAGATCTTTATTTTTGTCTTTATTGTACTTTTGCCTTTCTTGTCTTGTTTTTTTTTTATGCATCCAGCTGCTGTAACACGTGAATTTCCCCAGTAAGGCATTTTATCTTAACTTCTACCATTTGGAAAACACTGAAATACTAAAATACAGTCATAGATTAATAACTGACATCACATTATATTGTTCAGAAAATTAAAGCGTCCAATGTAGTGTCGTGTCAATCAAAATGAAACAGCTCTGAACACGCCAACAACCGGTTCTATCTTCTTACAATCACATGAAACCTAAACATTTATTTGGACTTTATATTCAAATTTCCTGTTTGTAATTATTTTCTAACATTCGTTTTTAAATCTAAACTTTTTCTGCTTTCTGCGACTTCTCCTCTACAGTGGAAATAAATAATCTAAAGACCTGAAATGAGCAAAATAAGCAGATGCTTAAAGGCAGCGATCAGAAACCGCTTCCTCTTCAGATGGGATCTTACCTTGTTGTTCCACACTCAGCTCTTTCCCCTGTGGAGGAAAAAAAACATACAAAAGGGACATGTTACATACTGGTGTCTTTATGGTACACATTATACAGACTCCAGCCAGCCTCACTGATGGGCTCCATGAGACACAACATCACTATTGAGGCAGAGATGAATAGAGCAGTGCTAACACCATTCATTGGACAAAGCCAGCGAGCGGTCGTCGCTGAAACCTCAAGGGACCAGGAGGACCCCGAAGGGTTACAGGCCTCCTCCCAGAGCAAAGAAATGAGGGTGGCAGCTGCAGTGTGCGCATGTTGAGGAGGGAGGGGTCCATCAGCGGTGACACTGAACAATGTCTGTGCTGGCTCACTGAGCCTTTTGTTATCCCACAACACATGCGCATGCTAGATGCTACGTATTGTTATATTCTGGCTATCAGAAGGACCGTCCTCTATCAGAAGACAGCAGCTTAGTCAAAGATGACGCGGCGTATTTTGATGAACTGGGAGTAAGAGTGTGTGTTTGTCCAGCTGGAAGGGAGTCAAAAAAAACCGGCAACGACGGCCCCAAAGCATTTCAACATTATTTTTTCTTCCTCCATCTAACAACGGGCAGAAAGGGGGATTTCTCGACACATCATTACAGCAGATGGGTCAAGGTCTCCGGAGCATTCACGTGAAGAAACAACATCGCTTTCCTCCCGACATCATTCCACTGAGTGATAGTCCTCTCTACCTTTGGCCAACCAACCTCAAAATTGTTTTTCAAGCATGAGCCAAAAAAATAAAAAAAGCCCCTAATTTCATATCCAAAAGTTCCAGAGTCCCTGAATGATACATGAGACGTCTATTCGATTAAACGACGAGAACAAATCAGATTTTGCAGAACAAGGGAATCGGGGAGTCCTTATCGGGGAAACAAGGGCTGGCAAATATCCCGGCACCAGCTTGTTTGGTGCCAACGCTTGACATTATGTTTTTATTAATACATGCAGCAAGATGTAAGCGCCATGTGGCACTCACCCGTCTCATCGTGTTCCCTCTGTCACACTCACACACAACCAAACACGCTATTCTGAGTGTGAAGCAACGAGCTAATGAGCACGACTCGGTCCTGATTGATCGCCTAAATAATTAAACATGGGTGGTACCTGGAGACACCATATGCTCTGTTCATACACTCTCTCAGCTGCTCCACTGCGGACACACAGCTATAATGCGAGTGTTTATGAGCGCGACTGTTTGCCACACAACTCGGAAGCAGTCGCGATGAATGATTAAGTAATGAATATATCCTAAGTGTGAAAACCTATAAATATGCAGGGACCGCGTGTGGGATGCAGCTCAGGCCTCAGCTGGCTGCACCTTACGCCCTTTTCTTATTAGGTGAAGCCCTGATGCAGGAGCAGCTGCAGGAATGGGCCCCGGTTTGGTCCTCCTGATTGATTGGGCGTAAACTGTTCACGGCTGAGGTGACACGGGGAGCCCTGGGGAAGAGGCGGGGACAAGGAGAGCCTTTTGGAAATAGAAAACCCTCCCTGCGGCTGCACCACACAGAGGCTAACCAGATGATACTTTAACCGGTGGAGATAAGCAGAAACGAGAACACCTCAAAGTAGATGTGGTCCGATTTTCTATTTGAATATCGGGTCTCATTTCCTCTTTTTTTTTTCTTCTTATAAAAGTACTCCACGTCTCTGCGGACTCCTACACCTCATTCTCGGTTGCTCATTAGATCTCCACTACTATAACCCCGGAGGCGACTCTGTAGGTCATTATTAGAAGATATAACACCAAGTCATGTGCACACCTAAGACAAATCAAGAGGTCTTCCTACCTTCACCCAGTGTCTGCTTCAGTAAGTCATGCTTGGCCTGCAGTTTAATGATGAGGTTACTGCCGTTCAGGTACTCCTTGAATTTCTAGACGGACAAATAAAGGCAATCATGAGTCAAGAGCAGCACAAAGCCAGTGTAACACGATCCCAGCAAAACAATTTAGTGTCGCTCAGATCAGCAGAAATGCAATTTGTGGAAGACTGATGGTTTGAGGTCCGTAGCGGGCCGGTAGACCAAAAGACAAGTCGGCCCGAACTCACTGAAAAGTAGAACATCTCTGTCTCCTGTTGGTTCGACCTCCTCTTGGCGATATTGAGCTTGCTCATGTAGGATTCGGAGGCCACAGACTTAATGGATTCAGTGGAGCGGCTGTGCTGAAAGGCATCCGACACATCAAAGTCCTCCACTGTCAGCATGTCCTGCAGCGTCTGCATGGTGGCATCCAAGGTCTTCCTCACCTGCACAGGAAGGAAACCAGATGAAGCTTATCGTCTCACTTCGTCTTCATCGTATTTTCTGTTCTGCGTGGATCGATGCTACTTGTTCGGTCAAAAACTGAACTAGTCAATGACATTTTCAGAAGCACAAGTGAGTTATTTAAAGCACGAGTACATTAAAAACAAATTGACCCCTGAAGAATAAATGACCTCTGACTGCACCGACATGACACAGAATATAAACGAAGCAGCCTGCAGGTCAGATATACATCAGACCAAGACATGAAAATGAAGAGAGCCAGGGAAGGTAAATGAACTGCTCACAACATGACTGAAGGAGGCTTTTTGTTTAGGCCTGAGATTGATAAAGCTCATTTCCAGTAATGGCAGGACTCATCCATTATCCTCCAGCACACGAGACACAGAGAGACAGAGCTATTGTCACTTGCGGGTCTATCAGGCCGTGGTTATTATCACCTCCATTTGCACCTTTGTGTCCTTGGCTCCCATCTCCATCACTAAACAGACAATTTCATATATAACTTCATAGAAAACATTGGCACTGTGACAATCTAAATATATTCTCAGCTCCCACAGAGCAAGGGTCACCGGAGAGTAATTGCAAAGAGAACAGATGGTGATGTGGCCCTCCTTCTTGGTGTTTTGCCCTTCAGTGGTGTGATGGCTGTGGGGAAGATGAGCTCTGCTTCAGAAGGGAGGGGGTTACTGGTGCCGGACAGACATAGATCATAAATCCTCACCTCCTCATTTTCAATCTTTAGTGTCGCTAAGCGAGACTGCAGTTGGTGGTAGCGCATCAGGAGCTCAGTCTGGACCGGCTGCTGGGCGCTGACCTGGCACACCTGAGGAGGAGGAGGAGGAGGAGGAGGAGGAGGCGGCGGGCAAATGAGTTGGAACGGATGAAATAAAAACAGAGCGCTACTTTATACAGACAACATTTTTTTCTTTAGTCGGTGGCATGAGAAACAAATATGTGATGAAAGTCGCGGCCTTCGGAGGATCTCACCTCGTCTCCCATGTGTGGCAGATACTCAAAGCGCATCGGAGGACAGAACACCTGGTTATGCATATCCATGATCTTGTGCTTGTCACTGCGGGAGTCCAGGTTGTCCACTGCGTTCTCGATGATATCCAGTCCCTCGTGGCGCGACGTCTCCAAGTTGTACTCTGCAGATAAGTAGGTCCTGAAGGTGCGCGCCAAGCTAGCGTGGTAGCCCAGGTCACAGCACTGTGGAGACAAAACATCAGATCAATATCCTCAAAAGCACCTTGTAGCAGCATTTGGAAAAGCAAAATAGAAAAAAAAACTATACGTGTATCTCTGATTAAAGTCCCTCTACTGGCATTGATTAAATTCCTAAAAGCTTGTCTCTGTTAATTTAAAATGACATGTTTACAAGCTTCTTTGTCCATGCAAATAGTCAGTTGGTGCCCTAAAATGGCCTCGATGTAACCCCAATCCAATGCAGCTCGAGCACACCAGCTCACGTCCAGCTCTGCTCAAACACGGTAAAAACATTCTAAGCTCCACGGTTTCCAGCTGTAATATTGCAGCATTTCAACCACACACGTTAGAACAGGAGCCCGGCTTGAAACGTTACCTAACGCACGGCTCATATCAGGGTTTCACATCCGATCTTGCATGTGGTCACAAATGTGCTCTAAAACCCACAGACAGCAGCGATGCCGCAGTGCACGGACCACACCCTGAAGCAGGCGTCCACATCACCGCAGCTGGTGCTTCGCTGTTCTTTAATGTAAAAGTAATAAAAGGTAAATATTTTTTTTTGTTTATAATTCAACCAAATAGTCAGAAGCACTTGGTCTTTTGTCCTTTCTCTTTCCACATCGAATTCTTTGAGTGTGAAAACCTGCTTGGAAACAGAACTGATTCGAACTAATTCAACAAATCAATATAAATGTATAATAAGGGAATGATCAAAAGGTGAATGCGCAAAACTCAGCTGTGCAGTTTATTAGTCTGAGCACCTCTCACCATGTTCAGACCTATTTAATGGACTCGATACCAAATTATGTTCTGCTACAGGTTGCCCTTCAAAAATAGAACCAGAGTTTACAGAATTACAGGGGCTAGCGCAGTAGGACACCGGGGATAATTACAGAGCCTTATCACACAGGCCTGTATGAAGTAACCTAATTAAGCAGAGGATAGCAGCGAGGAGGTTCAGAGGGAAGCTTGAGGCAACTGACAGCTTTGTAAATCACTGAGTAAACGCTCTTTAGCGCTCTTTAGCACTGAGGAAGCAGTCTCCCCACTTTGTGCACAAGCCTCATTGCACCACTCTGTCAAAATGGCTCAGTAGACCAAAGACTAAAGGGAGTAAATTAGCTTCTTTTTAAACAAGCAAACAGACTGAGAACACATTTATACAGCAGCAGCAGCAGCAGCAGAGGACTGAGAAAGACTGAATCCAAGTGCTGTTGACCTCTTTCCTTTTCATCTTTCTCATTAGAGCGATACCCATACTATATTATATTTGCATATCTATACATTCACAAATAAGGGTTGGTTACTGAGGTTGGTAGATTTCTGAATCTGTATTTCTTCTTTCTTTCAAGGTGGAAATGCTCAGCAGTGGCGCTGACTGCTTATTGTGGTCATATTATGTCTCCTAGCATATAAAACAAAAACCTCCACATGGACACGGACATGGTTAAAGACTTGGTTTAACTGTCTGTTGCCCCACAACAGAATCCCAACAGTCCACAAAAAGTAAAAATACATTTTTACTGTGTCCTTGCTGTAAAACTTCCTCTCTCTACAGATGATTCCCTGATGACCAAACACTCTCATCGCAGAGGATGTAATTTCTCAGAAAAGTAGTAAATAAACTCATCATGTTGCCCTGAATTCAACGTGAACATTTTAAGGTCACTGACAAACCTCCCTTGCTTCTGGTCTGACGTGCGACGGTCTGTGGTTCTGACATTACAAACGAAGCCTTCTCTTTCTCTTGCCTGCTTGTGGCAAACAACCCAGTCAAGCTCACAATCCCATTCCCTCCAGCTCAGCAGGATTTAGGATGACATGGACCTTTGAGGTGCCAGACAGTGGATCTATAAAAGCAGCCCAGCAAAAAAAGGCAGGAAAAGCCATGAATCAGGCTCCCAGTGTCTCCATTTATCGCCGTCGGATCACCGTTATACCGTATAGCCTGACTCAGGTTTAGCTGCATTGGACTAAATCACGCTGTAGCGTTTCAACTGCAATCATTTAAAAGTGCAAGTCATGCTCGCTGTGTTGCATAAATGTCACTGAAATCATGGCTGACCTGGAAAATGTGCCTCTACCACCATGGCTAATGTGGTGCCGTATGGTGGTGGGCCTCGAGCGAAAATGTGACAACCGGGTCATTAGCACAGAGAGAAGGAAAAAAAACACAGACGCACCAATTCTCTGATAGAAATATGATCTGAATGTCAAAGTTTAAGATGACATCCACTGACTTGTATTTTACTCATCAGCAGTCAGCGACAAAACAAAACAGTTTAATACATATTACACCTATGCTGGATGTTTGGGGCTGATTCCAAGTTTAATAATTTTGCAGCGATGCACTTCACACACCGTCTGCTCAGCTGTAACATACACTCTGCTGCATGCGCTGCAATCAGTGCTGAGGTTAGTAAAGAATGAAACAGAAAGGCCAATATCAGCTGGTAATATTGGGAAACCAATGCACAGGTCGGGCTCTATACAGTCTATAACACTGTCAAACACATTAACTAATAACACACAATATACAGTTTTGGAAAGACCCAACCTGCTTGCACAGTTACCTCATCTATAGAGCACATAACATACAGCACATAACTAAACAAAGATGGTTTCTCATGTGTGTGTATATTATAATAACAGGGGAACTGGAAGAACTTACAACCGATAGTGAAATGTCAAATGAGAACAAGATGCAAACCGTGCATCACAAAGCCTCGCCTCGTTGAACAGACGGATGCATGTGTGCATACAAGAGGAATGGACACAGAGAGTTGCCTTCAAAAAGGTCAATAAAGTCTTAATCTTCTTAATCTTCATCTGTTTCCAGCAGATGACTGGTAGCAGGTCAGCCACTGCGGAGGGAGCACTGCCAGCCACATTAACCTTATTCATGCCTGCATAAGCAGAGCCTCTGCTCACCAGCTGACTGCAGCCGACTTCCAGCCACTAGCCGTTTGCTAAACAAAGTCATCCTCGCTGGTAACACTCAGACTTGATTTCCAGCAGTGCCACTGGTTTACAATCTGAGTAACTTGACTTCATGTCTGACTTGTAGTTTTTCTACGAGCTTGACATTCAGGATATTAAAAACAGCTACGTTCTGCTATCCTCCAGTCTGAAGGGCAGGGCAATTTTTCACTCTTAATAACCTACAGCTTCTTGGATCAGTGTCAGAAAGGCTGCGTCCTCTATTCTGATCCCCCCAAAAAATAGAGGAGCTGTGTGCGTATGTGTCCTGGTTCATGTTTCTCCTCGGTGACAGCTAAAGGCAGCCGGTTACCAGGACATGCTGTGTTTGTCCCACCAAAGCTCCCAATAGCAGCATCGACAAAAAACAAACGAACGAGGACAAGGCTGAGGAGGAGGATGGAGCAGAAATCCTTCTGTCAACGCTGATGGAGTCATCAGTCAAAAACCGTGTTGCTGAACTCGTTTTCATGTCAACAGCAGCCAGTTAGCAGCATATCAGTGTTAGGTTTGTTGTGCAGAAGTTAATAGTGAAAAAATGAAGGCAAATACATTTATTGGGGCCAACAGAGCAGCTTGAAGACAAACAGCCAACAGGCTGAGAGTGAATGAGACGCAGGAACAGATGGTGAGAAAAGTGACACTGCTGCAGAGTTAAATCAACATCACAAGTCCCAGCTGAGAGATGTAAACAAACACATGTGCCTCGTGCATACTCACATCGATCATATCAGAGACGTCATGGATGTAATATTTTGCCACCACTGCATTTGTTGCTGCCAGGTTCAACAAATAGTCATTCCGGGCCTTTGTGCATTTCAGCTTATTCTCTGAGTACTTGGCTTGCCTCTGGGGAGGAGAGAAGAGACAGAGGAGATGAAGGGAAAAACCATCAGTGCAGGAATATAAAGCAGCAGGGGGGGTTTGAGTGTGTGCTCAGGCAGCTGCAGCTTTGGGATCATCACACAGGCAGGAAAGTTTGGAGGAAGCGGCGGCTCTAGAGAAGCTGCCTCTAGACAGTCGTGTGTTCGGCGGCACAGCCAGGCTCGCGTTTCCTTATTAGTCTGCCTCTAAACACTTAAACACCACACACAAGTAACACATGCACATAAAATATTTAACAGCTCATATTCCATCTTGGGAATTCTTGTTTTCACTTTCTTGCCTGAAGTTCGATGAGATGTCTGAATGGTAAATATACAGCTAAAGCCAGCAGGCGGTTAGCTTAGCTTAGCATCAAGACTGGAAAATCGCTAAATTACTGCCCACGTCCTGAATAACACATTAGATCTCATTTGTTTGATCCATACAAAAGGTTTCTGAAGAGAAAGTAGATCTGGTTGTGATTTTGTTACGATGCTATGACGCTGATTGTCCCCCCCGTATCCAGTCTTAAAGCTAAGCTAAGCTAACCAGCTACATCCTGTAGACATTAAATTGGCATTAATCATAATTCAAGTTTAACCCTCTGAACCCCGAAATCCAGCAGCAGATTTAAAGCGTATGTTGTCTTTTTTAATCACTAAAATGACTCCATCTATCAGCTTAAAACTGTGATCCCACTCTTCTACAAGTCACATTTAAAAATGAACCAGTTTTCTCTGGCCAGAGTCTGTGAATAAGAAAACATTCTGCGCTCCTCGGGCCAACTGGGCAGCCATCAGTGACCAAGCTGCTACCAACAGTAATGTACCAGAAATCCAGGAACCTTTCAGCTGAACTGGATTGAACTGCAGGACATGTAAGTCCTGTAGTAAAACATTTACAGCACGGCAGGTTCATCTGTATGGCACAATCCGTACCCGAGTGCTTCACACAAAACTATAAGAAAACAGATAAAGTCAATTCACAAAACATCACTAATTAATTACATTAAAAGCAAAGAGGCAGATAAAATCAATCGACATGCAGAACCACCATTTCTTTTTTCCTCTGGCAGTGGTTACACCTGTGGGGATGTGAAAAAATGATGTGCACGCTGAATTTTTGTGAAACAAGTCTGGTTCCTTCTAGCCGTGGCTGTGCTGTTCCCATAGAGGTGCAGGACTCTGGACTGCAAATGAGCCTACGGTGAGTAAAAACCTGACAGGAGCAGAACATGACCAGAAACTGTGTGGAGCTCGGAGGATTAACTAAACAAGTTCTTCTTGCTGTCGGCCTTTAATTTCCAATGTCTGACAAACACATGCATTTGTTCTAAAGCTCGGATAAAGTAAGATGGCACACTGAAAAACACAAGACTTTGATTTTACAAATGAGTGCATAACAATGTTGACATCCTCACCCACTTTAGCAACACAATGACTCAGACACAACTCACAGAAGCAAGTTTAAAATGCAACAAAAGCATTATAATTCTAAAGCAGAGACTTCTACCAATTATGTTTGTTTGTACATTTCACTATACATGGACATTTTATTTCCAATTTCACAAAAACCATTATGATGCAAATTTCAGCAGTGCGTTAGAGGGAAAGAGATTAAGTTTTCCTCCTTCCTCGTCTGTTTCTAACCTGTTTGCAGGCAGAGTAATGAGACAAAAGCTTAGGACCAAGGCACAGTGGAATATTCATCGCTACGCTGCTGCGTTATAAATAGTGTGCTACTCCAAAGCCGAGCAGCATCTCTGAGAACACCAGCCTGAGGAGGGAGAAGCGCTGCGGCTCTGCTGACAGCCTTTTGATTTCCTGCACCTGAGAGATAATGGGAGTTTCATTTGCATGAAGAAATTCCAGAAGAAAATCCAGAATAAAAATTGCATGGCAGCATCTGAAGTACAGTATGCTCCAGAGACCACCAGCCTGACACTTCTGGCAGAGAAGACTTTTCACAAACTAGAAATCTGCATAAGATGGAAAGGGAGTCGGGTTACTGGGCTGCAGCTCGCTCTGTGTTTCTGGCTGCAGACCTGCAGTTTGCTCATGAGAGTTTCTGGCATTGTGTTGCTGCCTGTCTGCCGGCTCTGCTCGCTCACACTTTCCAAGTAAACCCAACAAACTAAGCTGCTTCTCCATTTACAGAACTAGAATTTCTAATATTTAACTTTGGTGAGAAGCTGTATGAAGAGTCTTCGTAGCCTAAACACTTCACAGGATTCATGTAGCACACAAACTGAAGCCAAACTGAACCATGTGTATGTAAACACACAACACTTCTCTCTTCTTACTGGAGGCAAACCTACCTTCTCTTTCATCTTCTCGATTTTCCTGGCGGTGCTGCGTCTCGGTTGGCGATCCTCGTGGCGCAGGAGGTTGACGTTGAGATCTCCGGACTTGCTGAATTGCTTCTCCTCCTGCTTCTCAGCATCTTTGAGCTTGCTCTCTGCACTGATGCTCTCAGTGTGGTACATGTGGTACGTTTTCATCACCTAAAAGAGGATAAATACAGCTTTAAATGCTTTGGTATCATCACACTTTGTGAAGCATTTTTTAAAGTAAATCACTGAATGTTTAAATCCACAAAACCTGCCGATGGGTTTGAATGAATAATCTGTGACATGTGGTTCTGTCAAAAAAAAATAAGCAATTTTATCAAAATCACTTTTTTCTACGTATCTCTTTTTTAAAATTGCCAAAAGAAAAACCCATTTGCTTGGTAAAAAAAAATACAAAATCCAGCCATCATCAGCTCGTGTGTGAAACCATCCGTGGTTCAACGTTCTGAGACGTTTCAGCTGAACTGGGCTGAACTGCAGGCTGTGTTTAGAGCGAGCACACAGGAGACAAGTGTGGAAGCAAATTAAAAATGTTTGTAAAATAGTTAATTATCTACAAAGTCATCAGTTTGTTCCAGAGTTGGCAAAAAGGTTGTACATGCTGATCTAAAAAAAACAAATTCCACTTCAGCTTTTTATGATACTGTGCAGAAGACATTTTTGAGTTACGTCTACTTCTAGCCATGACTGTGCTGTGTATATGTAGACATATATGAGATTGTAGTATGGTACAGGCAGATATGTATATATGACATATGGTGCTGTGCTGTTTCCATAAAGGCGAATAATCGTGATAAGAGTTAAAAACAAACAAACAAAAAAAAACATTTACAAAGTAAAAATAGCAAATATTCACTGATGTCATTCACAAATCTTTTCTTTACAGAAGAGGATGAGGGCCACTGAAGAAAAAAAAAGAAATTCTGAGAAAAAAGTCAGAATTCTGAGATTAAAGTCAGAATTTTCACTTTTTCCCCAGAACGTTAAAAAAAATAAAAAATTTCGGGATTTTTTTCCCCCAATCTCTGAAAAAAGTCAGAATTCTGACTTTTTTCCCCAGAACATTAAAAAAATAAAAAAAATAAAAAAATTAAAAATTTAAAAAAAATTCCGGGAGATTTTTTTTTTTCAATTTCTGAAAAAAAAAAGTCAGAATTCTGACTTTTTTCTCAGAATTTTATTTATTTTTTCTTCAGTGGTCCTCATTCTCTTCCGTATTTCTTTGTCCAATATAACCAAAATAAATCACCTGGCTGATTAGGACGACAATCAGCCCATTTGTTTCTGTTCAACACTCCTACATAAAATCACAGATAGTGACTAGAACGTGGTGCAAGGGTGTAGCATCAAACCTATAGTAGAAAGTAGTGTTTTTAGCCGTAGACATGTGGGAGTGGCCACCGCTGATTACTGAGACACATACACAAGCCCTGGCTCAGTAACTGAGGTGGATGCTACTACTCAGTAATGTTGTTATCATCACTCAGTTATTGTCGTGTAGATGGTGAACGTCTTTGCATCTGTTGGGGCCAAAGCTGTAAACCCACATACGTGTGGTTTGGTCCTCACAGGCCCAATTAGAAAACCACTCACACCTGCACATTGATCTGCAAGAGCACGACTGCTGTTTTGGGACTTCCTTATTCCCTCCTCCCGATGCAGCCAATAGCACGATGGAAAGAGGACCGACTTCCACTGTCTCCTGTTTCTAAAATCTGGTTTGATTTTGGGTTTTTCATGGTGGCCTGCAGGATCAGTTTGGGCCATCAGTGCAGCGGTAACACAGATGTCACTACATGTGGAATATTTTAAGTGGATCCAGGGGCCCAGAGTTGTGTGTGGTTTAGCTTTGGCTGTCAAATCCCCGCCTCACCGTAGCTTTCCTGGCCGCTACATCATTCCTACAGCGACGGGCTCGCTCGTTTCCAGCTCTTTTGTGGAGCAGAGTGACAGCATTGTTTTCTGTGTTCTCTGCTGCCGCCGCCTCACTTTGATCTCGACTTAGACACTCAAACTTTGACACCCTCCCCCCCTTCCCTTGTCCAACACGGTGATGACAAGACTGGAGTGACACAAAACCCTCGTTAGACAAGACAGAAGCCCCCTTCGTCTTTCTTAACTCGTCCCAGATGCTCGTCGGGACTCTCTCCTCTTCTGGGCCCATTTCTGAGCCTCATAAAGGAGCGTCCAGATGTGAGTCGTGTCTTCAAACGTCTCCGGTATTCACGATTTTCTATGAACACCTCAGGATGTCAGACAGTCAGCATAAACAGTAATTTATTTGTTTCCTGTGATCAAGCACGCAAGGCTCGCTTTGTGGGTCACTAAAACAGCAGGACACCTTTTATCTGTACGAGAGCGACTCATCTAGATCACAGGTTGGCCGTTGGGTCACTCGCAGCTATAATCTTGGCCTGACCTCCAACCCTGTGTGACAGCAATATTTACCACTGATGCCACTGGAGGAGGTTCTATTTATTACCCCCTTTCTGCCCTGGAACAAATACGACTCCTTTCCAGTCAGTTTGAGAACTCCTAGAATAACAAGAGCAGCAAAGTGTTAAAGAGCTGCAAGGCAAAAACCTGAAAATATAATAAAAAACAGAAGTACAGTAGTCTGTTCTCAGAGTGACGGAGCTAAACATCGATGCACAACAGAAACTAGGCTAACGCTGTGTACCTCCCCAGGCTGTCAGACTGCTCAGACTCCTCTGAAAATGTGCTAAATTTCCAGCTAACTCTGAACCATCTGACTGCAGGACCTGCAGCTAAAGACACAAAGTAATTTGCAGGAAGACTGAGCTTCAGCTGTGTCTACAGGAGGTGTGTGTGTGTGTGTGTGTGTGTGTGTGTGTGTGT